AATTAATTATTATATTTAATTTGAGAAAAAGAAAAAATAAGATATCCTGATAATAAAAATATTAAGACATTCAATCACAATAATTAAATATGTAGGGTATGGTATGTGTTTCAATTTTATTAAATTCATCATGTGGTTATTATTAGATATTCTGACATTTTACATCTTGATTTTCTCATTTTTCATTTATTTTATATTTTATATATGCTACATTTTATATTATTTTGAATGTGATGGAATGTTTTTTTCGCCCCCTATAAATTTTGTCAAGCTCCATCCCTGAAACACCCCTTAATTTATCTTATCAATTTGATTATATATCTAGTTCTTGTTCTTTAATGTTAAATTAAAATACTAACATGCCAACTGCATCTGCGATTTAATAATAAAAATTTAGTGATGCGCCACCTTAGATCTTACCTTCGAATCCAATCACTAACATTACTCTTCGAGTCCGTTATATGTAATTGTAATGTATAATTACTTTATTTAAAAAATTAAAAGACTAATATAGACATAGTTTTGTTAATAATCAAAATCATGTTAATATTGTACAATGTAATGTGTTTGTGAGAAGATAAATCAGCTTTTGTCTGATAAAATTATGGAAAACGAGGGCTAAAGTTTTTGTTTCAGTCCGAATCTGAAAAGGGTAATTTTACAATGAAATTTGAAATCCGTGAAGGATTTTCCATTACCGAAACAAATATGACAAATAAGTAAGGAATAAACAAGCTAGAAATTGCTTGTTTTAGTGGAACACTAGAACAAGCTATAATCCACAAGCGAGGCCTTCGTGATCCCTTGAATGTATGTCTTATGGGTTTTCTACGTTTCAGTCGTCACGAATTGAAGCTAATGGTGGTAGAGCCATAGTAATGGGTGTAGGCTCAATCGCCCTATCATCCCAGCCGCCTTGGTCACCTCCATCCTTTGATCGAAAAGTATGATAGATTTATGAATGGAATGCAATTTCCGTATATTACTTTGAAAAGATCAGTACATCATATATACAAGAAAGCAGAGGAAAAAGGCGGCTAAATCAACTAAGCTAAATCAGCTGAGAATCCTACTAAATAATAACTAAGAAATCTTACGAGATAAGTACAGATATGCTAAATATATTTCAGATATACCAGATATTTCAAATAAATACCAGATATTATCTGCAATCCATAATTATTTGCAACCCATAATTATCTCCAATACTCCCCCTCAAGCTGGAGCATGAAAATTCCGAATGCCCAGCTTGTCACAAAGATAGAGGAAGCGATCTTTGCCCAATGCCTTTGTGAAGATATCAGCAGGTTGATCTGCAAAAGCAATGGAGAGTGGAAGAATAAGACCAGCTTGGTATTTCTCACGAACAACATGACAATCTATCTCAAGATGCTTTGTTCTTTCATGGAAAACAGGATTAGCAGCTATATGACAGGCAGCTCGATTGTCACAATATAATGGAGTAGGAGTAGGGAGTTGAATGCCAAAAGTGGACAATAAGCTATGCAACCAGATAATTTCTTTAGTTGTGGTGGCCATGGCACGATACTCAACCTCAGCAGAAGAAAGAGAGATTGTGTTTTGCTTCTTACTCTTCCAAGAAATAGGACTATTACCAAGAAAGATGCAGTAACCGGTGGTGGAGCGTCGAGTGGTGAGACAACTTGCCCAATCAGAATCACAAAAAGCAGTCAACTGAAGAAAGCCCTTAGAAGAAAGCAAAATACCTTGACCTAGGGTTTTCTTTAAATATCGAAGCAATCGATGTGCTGCATCCAAGTGACATTTCTGAGGAGACTGAAGAAACTGACTCAATGTGTTTACTGTAAAGGAGATATCCAGCCTTGTAATGGTGAGATATATGAGACGACCAATCAGACGGCGATACATGGAACCATCAATAAGAGGAGAACCATCAGAAGGAAGAAGCTTCAGATTCTGCTCCATAGGTGTATCAGCAGTTCGAGATCCAAGAAGACCAGCATCATTAAGAAGCTCAATAGTGTACTTACGTTGAGAAAGATAGAGGCCTTGAGGGGAAGAAGCAACTTCAATACCCAGAAAATATTTGAGAGGACCTAAGTCCTTAAGGCGAAATTGACTAAATAAGAATGCTTTCACTTGGTTGATTAGTTGAGGACTACTACCTGTGATTACCATATCATCAACATATACCAAGACATAAACACATGAAGCTCCACGAGACAAAGAAAAGAGAGAGTAATTTGCAAATGATTGAGTAAATCCAAAAGCAAGTAAAGCATGAGAAAATTTTGGCAAACCAATTGCGTGATGCTTGCTTAAGACCATAAAGGGATTTGTTCAACTTGCAGACAAGACCATGTTCCCCCTTGCGAGGATGTCCAGGAGGCAATGACATATACACTTCTTCATGTAAATCACCATGGAGAAAGGCATTCTAAACATCTAATTGATGTAGGGACCATTGTTTCATAGCAGCAATAGCCAAAAGAACCCGAACTGTCACAAGCTTAGCGACAGGTGCAAAAGTATCATGATAATCAATACCTTCAACTTGTGTATAACCTTTAGCAACAAGACGGGCTTTGTATCGATCGATGCTACCATCAGATTTCCTTTTGATTTTATAAACCCATTTGCAACCAATCGGCTGTTTATCAGCAAGCAAAGAAACAAGAGACCATGTGTGAGTGTCTTCTAAGGCATTAAGTTCAGTCTGCATGGCCTCCCTCCACTCAGGAAACTTAGCAGCTTGGGTAAATGTTGCAGGTTCAATATCAGAAGATAAAGAATGAAGGAAAGCACAATATGGGTGAGAAAAACGAGAATAACTCAAGTATTGATGAAGGGGAAAATGTGTACCTGAAGCCGGAGAAGATGATTGAGGAAGCACGTTGAAGCACTGATAGTCCTTAAACCTGGATGGTATTTAGGTCTGTCGTTGAGAGCGTCTCAATTCTGGGATGGGAACAATATGAGGAGCTGGTGGAGGGTCAGTTGTAATGGAGGTTGGATGTGAAATGATATCATTTGTAGGGGAGGCAGGTGAAGGCTGGGAATCAGCTTGTTCCATTAAGGGAAAATCAATGTTTGAAATAGGAAGCGGAAGGCACAAAGTGGAGGCATCAGTGGTCACAACACTAGATGGGAAAACATTTTCATGAAAAGTAACATCACGACTAACATAAATCTTTTGACTTCGAATGTCAAAAATTTTGTAACCTTTTTGTCCAAAAGAATAACCAATAAAGATGCCTGGATGTGCTCGAAAATCAAATTTATGTTTGATGTGAACATTACGTCCAAAGCATAAACACCCAAAAACACGCAAGTGCGCATATTTAGGAGTTTTATTAAACAAAATTTCAAAAGGTGTTTTGCCCTTAAGCACTTTTGAAGGTGTTCGATTAATAAGATACGTAGCAGTCAATATGCATTCACCCCAAAATTTTAAAGGAAGGTTGGAATGAAAACGAAGTGCCCTTGCAACATTTAACAAATGTCTATGTTTGCGCTCTACAACCCCATTTTGTTGAGGTGTATCTACACAACTGTGCTCATGAACAACACCAAGTGAGTTGAAAAAAGTAACAATATTAGTGCTAAAAAATTCTGCACCATTGTCACTACGAACACGACATATGGTGGCATTAAATTGTGTTTTAACCATGAAGAAGAAATTTTGCAATATGCTGAATGTTTGAGAATTATGTTGCATTAAGAAAACCCAAGTATTGCGAGAAAAGTCATCCACAATCGTTAAGAAATAATGAGCCCCTGTGATGGATGCAGTAAAATAAGGCCCCCAAATAGCCATATGAATTAAATCAAAACAATGAGATGTAGAGATAGAACTATTTGGAAAACTTATTCGACTTTGTTTAGCTAAAGGGCAAACATTACAAGGACAATTATTGAAAAAGGTAATCTTCTTATCCAAATTAGAAAATTGAGAATAAGTACTACAACCAGGATGCCCAAGCCTACAATGCCAAACGTCTAAGGGTGAAGTAGCTGCAGAAAGAGAAATATTTGGTGAATTGTTGTTGGTGGTGTCTAGGTAGTAAAGACCATCATGCTCCTTCGCCAAACCAATCACCTTCTTCGTTAACAGGTCCTGGAAAATGCAACAATTAGGCAAAAATAAAACAGAACAATTTAAGGCTTTTGTTATTTTGCTGACGGATAAGAGGTTAAATTTAAATGAAGAGACATGAATAACTTGGTCTAAATGTAAGGAAGAGTTGAAACTAAGAGAACCAGAATGAGCAACGGGTACATGAGTTCCATTAGGTAACTTTACTGGAAGTCCATGATAAGGACGTATGTCATGCAAAGAATGTAACTTACTAGTAATATGGCTTGTACAACCGGAATCCACAATCCAAGGAATATGAAATTGAGAAAAACTAGAAAGTTTACCTGCCATGTTGACTAATGGATTAGAATTAGAAGAATTTGTGATATTTGGTTGAATAAGGGAAAGAAGCTGTTCAATTTGTTCCTGAGTGAAAGGTTGGTCACAGTCTGAACGTAATGCCTCATGATCGACAGCTGCAGCCATAGGTCTATTCTGCAATCGTGACTGCTGAGAGTGAAACTCCCTAGTCTCACGCCTTTGTGGATAATTAGAATTGCTTGGCTTTTTACGACAACGAGACTCAGAGTGACCATCCATCCCACAAAAATCACAATGATAGAAAGGTCTGGTACCCTTATTTTTGAAAGACTGACTCTGTCGATAGCCAGAATAAGACCTCTGCACATTACTTGCAACCATGGCAGACTGCTCTGGGTAAGGTGGTTGAGAAAGTACTTGAATGGAGCGCTGCCTCTCATCCTGTAAAACCAAAGATAGTGCTTTTGTAACAGTAGGTAAAGGACTCATTACCAGGATTTGGCTCCTCAAGTTGCTGTAAGATTCATTAAGTCCCATGAGAAATTGCATTAGACGCCCCTGTTCTTCCAGTTGAATGATTGCAGACATAGTCCCACAAGTGCACATAGGATAAGTGTTGTAGATAGACAACTCATCCCATAAACTCTTCAACGTGGTGTGATATGTTGTGACTGAATCATTTCTCTGCATATGATTCATAATGGACCTTTGAATTTCGAAAACACGTGGGGCATTATGTTGTGAGTACCGTTCCTTCAAATCAAGCCAAACTGCTCGAGCTGTCTTCATAAAGACTACACTATTGGCTATCTCCTTGGTGACAGCATTTAGAAGCCACGAAAGAACCATGCTATTGCAACGTTTCCAGATAGTATATGTTGCTGATGTAGCGCTTGGTTCTGGAATTGTTCCATCAACAAATCCAAGTTTGTTTTTTGCTTCAAAAGCCATAGTAATTGCACGGCTCCATGTGGGATAATTGTTCCCTATCATTAGTTGTGTCACAAGTGTAGTGCCTGGACCATCGGAATGATGCAGATAAAAGGGAGATGATGGATCTGCCTCCATGTTTGTTGTGCTTGCAAGAGGAGTTGCATTTTCTGCGGCGGCTGACATGGGATGAAAAAAAAAGATTTATGACTTATAGAAAGAAACGCAAGAAAGAATGCTCTGATACCATGATAGATTTATGAATGGAATGCAATTTCCGTATATTACTTTGAAAAGATCAGTACATCATATATACAAGAAAGCAGAGGAAAAAGGCGGCTAAATCAACTGAGCTAAATCAGCTGAGAATCCTACTAAATAATAACTAAGAAATCTTATGAGATAAGTACAAATATGCTAAATATATTTTAGATATACCAGATATTTCAAATAAATACCAGATATTATCTGCAACCTATAATTATCTCCAATAAAGTAGAAGAAGGATTCATCTTTACCTTAGAATTGCGAGCGAAGAAAGTGATCTTCGAGTTTTTTAGAATTTGGAGAGGCCTTGCCAAAAAAAAAAACTTGCAGAGTTCTGATAGCAAAGAATACGAAGTGAAAAATGAAAAGCAGGGTCTGATTTCCTATTTATATATTCAAAGGTACTTGAGAGGAAAAAGCTCTCCGGTGCCAGGTCGAATATTGTCAGCTTGCCTCAAGACAAGAGAAAATGAATGTAAAAAGCTTTCGAGTAGCGGGTCTAATATTGTCAGCTCGTCTTGGTGGCTCGCCAGGTCACCAAAGACGGCAAAGGGCGGTTCGAGAACGCAGCCCGGAAAACAACGTTTAATGGATGGGGAAGTTCCATCGCAGACGAACACCCAGTCCCAGCTTATTGACTAGGATCAGTTTATTGACGTAAAAACGTTTCTCATACTATACTTGATAAGACAAATTTTGATTTTAAAATATTATATTTAAATATAATTAATACATTAAGATATCTTTTTTTTATCAAAAAAAATAATTTATTATAGAAGTACAAGAAATACCTCAAATCTATTACATCTGCTAATTATAGAACCATCCAAAAACATATTTGCAATTACATAATACAAACATCAACTAAATCCTATCTAATTGTCATAACACAGTCAAAAGGATTATTTTCTCATTCATAAAGTATGGAAATAAAACCCTTAACCTTTTCTTTTAGCCACAAGAAAGATCTGACCTAAATATTCGCAAAGGCATCCTCCACTGAGATCTCTTGAGCTCTGAAAATTATACTATTGCGTGCATTTCATAGAGACCATGCTATGGTTAAAAACAAATATGACCAGATGTTCCTTGTTCTTGCCTTGCTCATGCCCAGCACCATTTTGGTTATAAGCCTCATGTATTGAATTTGGTAGCATGCCATGGAATCCCCACCACTTTAGGCATTTCATCTACACTTTGTGCGCGAACCTACATCTAATAATAATGTGCGCCAAGTCCTCTGCCTTTTCATTACATCTTACGCAGATGATGTTTCCATTGCTCACATGAATACCTCTTTGTTCCAAGTTCATTTTAGTTGGTAACTTGTCCAAAAATAGTCTCCATGCAAAAAAGAAAACTCTTCCAAGCAAAAATCTATTCCATATTGCTTTGCATAAGTCACTATCCAACACTCTTTGATTGTCAATTAGCATTGAGATAGCCTTCCTCACAGAATAGTTTCCACTTTTATCCTGTTTCCAAATTCTTCTATCTCCTACTCCCTCCCTTACCGTTACTCTTTCTAATTGTGTTAATAATGATATCTCCTCCTCTCTAGCCCTCCCTACTAACTCCTTCCTCCAATCTGTCTTCCATCTCCAAACCCCCTCACACCACTCCCCCATCTCTCCAACTTTTATAACAACATTCTTTGCCACATTTTTAAATCTTGGAAAATACATCCCAAGATTTCTCCCTTCCAACCAAACATCTTTCCAAAACTTAACTCTATTACCATCACCTACCTCCCAAGTAAAGTTATTCCCCACAATCCCCACCATCTCATTGCCTTCCTTTCCTAAGAATACAATATCTTCCCATATTTTTGATACCCTTCTCCTCCTAATTTTGCCTACACCCACTTCTCCCCTTGCACCATGATATTTTTCTAATAGAACTTTCTTCCACAATCCTTTCAAGCCATCCACAAACCTAGCCCACCACTTTCCAAGCAGTGCTAAGTTGCATTCCTTAAATCCCTAACCCCTAAACCTCCCTTCTCTTTTGCTAAACATACCCAATCCCATCTCACCCAACAAATCTTCCTTTCCCTTTCCCCAAACATACCCCATAAAAAGTCTCTCTGAATTCTTTCAATAATTTTTAGCACATAAGTAGGAATTTTAAACAAAGATAAATAGTACAAAGGAAGAGAAGAAAATATCGATTTAAGGAGAACCAAATGACCACCAAATGATAGGAATTGAGCTTTCTAGTCAACTAGCTTTTTATAGAAATTTTCTATCACTGGTAACTCTATTAATATATCTTATTAATATTATATTTTATTACAATGATTTAAAATAATTAAAATAAAATTAAACATTTTTTTCATTCATTTTTAATAAGCTTAATTTGATTTTTTTTTTAATTTTTAAAATATAAAATTTAGATGAAAATTTAATAATTTATATAAATAACAATTAAATTTTTTTTAATCAAATACAAATACTAAATAAGGACTATATATAGGGACAAAAAAAATCTCAATTGTTATTTATATGCATTCTTAAATTTTCATCTAAAATTAATATTTAAAAAATCAAAAAATTAAATTAAGTTAATTAAAAATGAATAGAGGGAGTATATATATATTTTGTTATCTTTAAAAGACAAATAAAATAAAATAATTATAATTAAAGGATTAAAAATTCAAATTATTATACAGGGACAAAAAAAATTTCGACTGTTATTCATATAGATTCTTAAATTTTCATTCAAAATTCATATTATAAAAATTTAAAAGTCAAAATAAATCTATTAAAAATGAAAGGAGGGAGTATATATTTTATTATCTCTAAAAGACAAATAAAATAAAATTACTATATTTAAATTAAAGGATTAAAAATTCAATTTACTTAGATAAACATTTATTGAAATTTTTATCAAATTAACATAAAATGTAAGTATTTATTCACCGTATGGTAGTTTCCCAGTTGCTTGGCATTCAACTCAACAAATAGTAGTGGTCACCATATTGTCAAAGCAAAATTGTCACATTGTGTGGCACTGCATGGTTGAGAATGTGCATGGTGTTCACATTTAACACGATAAGTTCAAGAAGTATATGGAATTTCAAACAATCGCAAGAAGCTCGAGCTTCAATGTTACAATAAAAAGATAACTCTACATGCATTTGAATGAAGAAAGGAATGATGTACCAAAGGAGATGGAAGCCAGCATAACTTATCATAGTGCCTTTCTATATATGAGCTCCAAAAAACTTGTGAAATATATGCCTAACAAAAATGGTTCAACCGAGAATTTTAAAAATCGTTTCACTTAATCATTGCAAAGTATTTTCTTCAGTAGCTAAGATTAACATTTGTTGGTCTAAAGATATTTATTAAAGTGAGGGAGAGTGTTATATGCACCACTCTTTTTCCCTTCGCTGTGGTCTTTTTCCTATTGGGTTGTTTTTTTTTTTTTCTTTTGGTAAGATTTTTAATGAGATTGTATAATAAATGTATAATAAAATGTAAACATTCAAAAAAGAGTATTATGAACGATACAAATGAATGGATATTTTACCATCATCCTTCCATCTGCTAAGGTATATTTATTGTATCACTAACATAAATATTATAATTTAATTGGTCAAAAATCTTTCCTTCTCTTTCATTCCCCTTAGCCCAAACATATTATAAGTCTCAGTCATGAATCCAAGTTTGATTCCTTGAACCATCAAATTTCATTCATGAATTCATTTAGTTTCATTTATGAATTTACTTAAATTCATTCATTGAATAATATAAATTTAATTTTTCCTTTAGTTTATATATAGATTTGCATTGTATGAAGAAGATGAAGAAATGGAATTATAGAAGATCATACTTCTAAAACTTTTCTAATTTGTCATATCTTTTCCTTTCTTTTTATCTCATTCTCTTTATTTTTATAGTGTTTATTATACTTCCTCATACTCAAGTATCTCTTATTTTATAAGATTGTAGTATTTCTTCTCCTTTTCTGATTTTTTAATTTTTTTTTTAACTGAGCTTAACCCAAAGACTAGGGCTGAAAGTACTGAAGCCCATTTTAGGCCCATAATAAAGTAGACCCACAAAAGAGGTTACAACTTACAATTATGAAACTAGTTCAACTCGTCGACTAAATCAACTCCGAGTTTCATTTTGATTCTTTGAAGTCGTTAAATTTACGCACCTCGAACTACTACAGCTCATTTCTTAAATCAATTAACTTGAACTTGATGAAATTAATTTCAACTCAATATGTAGAAGTCAAGAACAATGGCGCGCCTTGGTCTTGTTCACAGCCGTATTGAGAAGCAAGGGCTGATTTTTTTATTTTATTTTTATTTTTATTTTTGGAGTATAAACATTGGGGATGAGGGATTAAATTGTGGAGGTGCACCCTCACGGCTGCTTACTAGGAAGGGTTCAATTACCTCAGACAATATAACTACGCACATGATCATAGTATTTTTCTAAATAATCTTCATAAATATTAACCTTTTAATTTATTAGAGTACATTCAAATCAATTTAACCTAAATAGAGAGAGGAGAGATATCTAAAATCAATTCTGGATGATGATGTCATGCGTATGACACGAATATAATGCATGACCTATAAAGAAATCCCATTGGCTCAAATTTGCAATAGTTAAAGAATAATAATAAATAAGATTAAAATTTGAACTAGTGACTTCACATAAATTATGTTATTTAAAATATTAAAAAGTGAATTTTATATAATTTAATAATTAAAAATTTTTTTATATTTAAATTAATATAAATTAACTCATTTAATAATGTAGATTTCAAATTTTAATTCTGAATTTTCATCCTCCCATCATTAACCAAAGTTAAAAAAAAAAAGAACCCACTATATAATGCAAAACAAACAAGACAGTCAACCAAGTTAAAGATGATGTTTTTGCAAAAGACATCAAAAGATAAATCATCAAATTTATATTCATAGTCATATTCATACACAAACATGTAATAATTAATAAAACACTGGTAAGTCATCTCTCTGTCCTTTTTTCTTTTCCCCTAATCTTCTTAAACAAACAATATCTCTCCCTTTTCTTGTCCTTTATTTGTCAACACAAACACTCTCAAAGAGAGTGTAAGTGGAAAAAACAAGGAGAGGAAAAAATATAAATATATATATATATATATATATATCATGCTAGTTTAATAACAATAATAACAATTATATGCTTGAATTAGCACAAGGATAGGATTTATGGAAAAAAATCAAGTAGTGGCAATGCAGTGGGGCTCCCTCCACAGAAGAGACTTCTTGGGCTCTTTGCAGCCATTTAATAAAGGAACCAAGTTGTTCCCTCTCAATTGCTGCTCCTCTGCCACTGGATTTTTGGAGTTTCTGAGTTGGGTTTGATACTGGGGATTTGGGTTTAGGACTGATGTCATGCTCTTGGGCCTCCAAAAGTACTCATAAGCATTCAAAGACGAGGCCACCCCGCCCACCGCTGACTGCGGTGCTGGAATCATCCGGCCCACCGGTGGTCGTAGCGGCAGTGATTGTGCCAGGGGTGGGGTTGGATCAATTTTCTCCTCCTCCTCCTCCTCCTCCTCCTCCTCCTCGTCTTCCTCCTCTCCCAACTTAACTACTTTTTCATTAATCTTGCCGGGCCATGTTGGATTCCTATTAGCTAAACCAATGGGCTTGTTCATCATTAGGGCTAGCCTATGGACATTTATAAACCCACTTGAGAATTTCGGCACCTCCTCCATCACGAATCCTTCATCTTTTCCTCCCCTGTTTTCATTCTCTGCTTCTTCTTCTTCTTCTTCTTCTTCTTCTTCTTCTTCTCCTTCATTTTTCTCTCCCGAGCTCCCAAATTCCTCTACAAGCTCATCCAATTCATTTAATTCTTCGTTTGTATCTTCCTCTGCTTGAGCAGGAGTCGTGTTGGCGAAGGTGAGAACAAGGCGGCCATCTTGGCGTTGGGCGTGGAAGTTGTTATGTGAAGGAACAGAGATGACTTCCAGAACCAGTCTACCATTATCACGACGGGTCGTCATGCGAACGGAGGCCCCGTCGTTGCGAGAAAGAGAAGGAATTGGCGGAGGGAAAGATCGTTGCGGTGCTTTCTTCCCGACCGCACCGTAGTTGTACTTGGGCACTCTTGGTCCCTCACAATCAAACTGCCCTCTGTCTTGTTTCTCATGCGGCAGTTCTTGTTCTTCCGCCTTGTCTTCGTCTGAGTGCCCGGTCTCCGCCGGCGGGTACAACGAAAACCCGTCAGAACCCGTCTCGGATCCGAGACTCTCAGTGCAAATCTCGAGGCTTTTTCTGCTCAAAGAGCAAGCTGATCTTTTCACAAGAGGGTGAATGTAAGGGGGAGGAAGTGATTTTGAAGTGTCATCCTGTGACTTTTGTGAGATAATCAAGCTCCATGTATCCAAGTGCCCTGGTTTTTCACTCTCCTTTTTGTTCTTCTCCTCTTGGATAGAGGCCCAGAGGTTGAATTGCTCCTTCCTCTCTTCATATTCATCTTCTTCTTCAGAGGAAGACGAATCCGCGATGGCGTCTGAGAACTCCTCTGAAGATGCAATTTTTTTCATTGGAGAAAAGCCATGTTGAGTTCGCCATTTCTTGGAGGACATATCAGCTGAGAGAGTTCTCCTAAGCGAAGAAGCTTTAGTCACCGGCCGATCACTCTCGGACTCCAGAATGGAGACAATCCCCTGTTTCTTGGTAACCATAGTCTCTTCTTCCTCCATCTTCAAAGCAGAGGAAAAACCAAGACTCTTGCTTAGAGTAGAAGACATGTTTGAATTGAAATCTTGAGCTGCAGAAATTGAAACAACCCAGTGAGTGAAGAATAACATAAAACTATACAAGAATTATAAAGAACAAGTCGTCACAGATTACATGATTAAATAAATCACCTGAAGAAATGAGCATCCAACACAGAGGCCTGCAAAGAGACCACTGGAGGTGCTTTGATGCAGGGGGGGAGGAACCAATCAAGAGCTGCTGCTTGCTGTTGATGGTATGAAGAGGTATAAGTGGGTGTGTGTTGATGAGAAATGGGGAGGGGAATGTGAGGGGTATTTGTAGGAGGGCAAAAGGTGATCGGGACCCGCCATTGGTTTTACTCGGACAGAAAAAAGGTCGGTGTTTAAAGAAAACAAGAGGCAGGATATCAAGAGGCACCACTCATTCTGACCCCCGTGAGCTCACTTAAACACGTTTTATTCACCAAATAACACAAAATTCTCTGAATTAAGAATTGATGGTGAAATTCATCATTCATTTGATAAATTGAACTAGTTGTAATGGTAGAAAAGATTGGAGAAGAAAACAGTGTAAGAAGAGGATTGGGGCTTGTCGTTTTTTTGGTATCAATCCTCATCGGTAACGTGGCAGAAGTCACAAAGGCAAATAGTCACAATTGGAGAAGAAAACAGTGTAAGAAGAGCTGGATTCCATTCATGGCAGGTTGAGTAGCTCTCGATGAATTTCTACCTTAATTTTACCTTATTACGAAATTAATTGGGGTATTAAGTCATCTTTAAGTTGTTTAAGTAGCTCAATCTTTGAGATTCAAATTGAGGGAGTAGGAAATTTTAGGAGGGAAACTAGTGAAAGGAGCTGCCATAATCCACAGAAGAAATCCCACATCTGAAACCATGGAAACTAGATGAAGCAGTATTTTACCAAATAAGTAGGTCAGAAAGGGATGTGGATTGGGAGTGAAAATGGCTTAAGAAGAAAGCAATGGAAGAACAATCA